AGGCAGAGCTCTTTTCTCCCCAGCACCACCTGGGGTGATGAGGAACAATGGTCATAAGCTGATGGAGAATAGGTTTAGGTTGGAGATCAGAAGGCAATATTTTACAGTTAGGGTGGCCAAAATCTGGAACCAACTTCCTAGGGAAGTGGTCCTCGCCCCTACCTTGGGCAAATTCAAGAGGAGGTTGGACGATCACCTGTCTGGGGTCTTGTGAACCCAGCATTCATTCCTGCCTGTGGCAGGGGGGCAGGCTAGATGATCTGTTCAGGTCCCTCCTAACCCTAGCTACTATGAAACTATGAAGGTTTGCCTGGCTACTGGAAACAAGCCGAACATAACCCCTGGGATCCATGCAAATAAAAAATCCTCTGTCCCCAGTTCACTCTCAGTTTTTACATCATGAAGACAAACAAATAAAAGCTCCTCCTCAAGAAGCAAATGCATATGGTTTGGTTACTCCTGTCTAATGGCAGCATAATATTTAGTGATCCACAAGAAGTCAGATCAGTTATGGTCCGTATGTATAAGAAATACGTAAAGCAAAACTACAAAAATGACAAAATGAAAAGTTAAGTTGCCTAATATTATGTACCCTTGTCTCCTCCACCAAGTCACAAAGCTCATCATTACAGCAATCACTGCACAACAAAACCAATGTACTACAAGCCTTGACACCTGGAAAGATCATGTAGCAGCTCCTCAAGAAATCTACTCTGAAGCACCAAGAGATGAACCAGGGAATCAGGAACCAGCATGAACATCAAGTGCAAGTTGGGTCTGGCCAACCTGATTTCCTTCTGTAATAAAGATAACAGGCTCTGTGGATGGAGGAAGACCAGTGGATGTGAAATATCCTGACTTTAGCACAGTTTCTGACAGTCTCCCACAACAGTCTCATTAATAAGCTAAGAAAATACAGGCCAGATGAAAGTACTGTAAGATGGATTGATGACTACTTGCTGAGCACAATGATCCATGGCTCAATGCCTAGCTGGGAGGTATCAAGTGGGGTTCCCCAGGGGTCTGTCCTGGGGCCAGTATTGTTCAACATCTTCATTAATGACTTAGATAATGACTTAGAGTGGCCAAGGTCTGGAATGGGCTCCCAAGGGAGGTGGTGCTCTCCCCTACCCTGGGGGTCTTCAAGGGGAGGTTAGATAAGCATCTAGCTGGGGTCATCTGAACCCAGCCCTCTTTCCTGCCTATGCAGGGGGTTGGACTCGATGATCTATTGAGGTCCCTTCTGACCCTAACACCTATGAATCTATGATGGGATCGAGTGCATACTTAGCAAGTCTGTGGATGACGCAAGCCAAATGGGACTGCACACACTGGAGAGTAGAGCTAGTATCCAGAATGACCATGATAGACTGGAGAAATGGTCCACAATCAGGTGAGATTAAACAAGGGCAAGCGCACACTCCTGCACTTGGGACAGAATAATGACATGCACAAATAAAGACTGGAGAATGACTGGCTAGGCTGCAGTACTGCAGAAAAGGGTCCGGGGCTTAAAGTAGAACATAAACTGAATATAAGCCAACAGTGTTGCTCTTTTTGTAAAATGAGATCAACAGCCTACTGGATTATATTAACCAAAATATCACTTGAAAAATCAAAGGAAGTGATTTTCCTTCTATTTAGCACTGGTGAGGCCTCACCTGGACTACTGTGTCCAGTTTTGGGTTCCACAGCTCAAGAAGAATGTAGAGAGCCTGGAGAGAGTCCAGAGCAGAGTGACAAAAATCATTAAATGCCTGAGAAGCAAGACTTATGAGGAAAAACCAAAAGAAATATAGACATTTAGCCTGAAGAGAAGAATGAAGGGGAATTTGATAAGTCTTCAAATACCTGAAGCATGGTTAGAAAGGATGGAGATGGGTTTTTCTCTGTAGCTGAAAGAGACAGAACTAGGAGCAATGGTCTCAAGCTGTAGCAGATGAAATTTAGGTTGGCGATTAGGAGGAACTTTCTGACTATGAGGGTGGTCAAGCATTAGAACCCATTATCTAGAGAAACTGTGACATCTCCATCCTTGGAAATATTCAAAAGCAGGATGGTCAGACACTTGGCTGGGATGGTTTTGTCAGGGAAGTTCCTGTCTTGAGCAGGGGCCTAGACTGGATGATCTTATGAGGTCCCTTCTAGTCCTTCTATGATCCTACAAATTTCATCCTAGCAGAGATGGCAGCTCTGATGATAAAAACGCTTTGCACAGAACATCAGACAATGGAAAGAGCCAACATACATTATTTCTCTGCCAGCTTACTGTTGCAGAAAACATTTAACTTAAAATAAAAATACATGCTTCCCTTTTTATTCATTTTTGATATAATTTCACAACTGTAGACCAAAGAACCAAAATAAGAAAAAAATGTCATACTGGCTCTGACCAAAGATCTATTTAGCTCAGTATATTGCATCTCACAGTGGTCGAGCAGATGCTACCAGAGAGAGTATGCATGGTTTATTAGACTGATTTGTCCCCTGCCTCTCTTCCCTTACAGTATCCAGCATTTAGAAGGCCTAGGAATTCCCCTCATGAAGGCTGCAGCTCCAGAACTGTTTCAGCTTCCATCATGGACAAATTTCTGAGTTTCTAAATTCTCCAATTTGTGTATTAGAAGAGCCACAAAAATTGAAAGACTTAACATTTCAAAAAAATGAGGATTTGACTAAAAGTATATGGACTGAAAATCTGGGGCAGATGCAGTTTCCTACAAAAACAAGAAAAAAAGCTATCAGATTGAGCTGCCATTGTCAGTGCAAAAACAGATCCTTCTGTAAGATATTACTGCTCATTTGTGATACAACAGAACCTTTTCTACTACTCTGGTGTACAGTAAAATCCAAGCCAACTTCTTTATTAATTGACAGAAATATTATCTTATGCTACACTGGTATAAACATAAGAGTAAACTGAAGTTTAATTACTCTGGTAAGTGATTTATCACTTCATTAGGCCTTATCTAGAAGGTTAAATGCATCTATAATAAGTTACATTGAAAAGGACATTAATAGGTTTGTCCTCTGAAAACAACATGTATTGTTAAGCATCTCAAAATATCTCACTCAGCCGCAATTCAATAACGCTTCATGAATATATGGACTTTGTCACAAAAACAAAGGCTTATAGCTTGGTCTAGTGGATAAGAAGCAGCTGGGGATATTCAAAACCCTGGTGTGGTTTTACCTCAATTGACTTCTGTATTTTCTCAAGATGTGCATTGTTGGTCTGCAGCATCTCAAGGACTCCTGCAGCTGTAGCTGCCCTAAGAGCATTTGGGTCTTCCTCTGTATGTACCATGATCTCTTTCCATTTGTTATTGACCTGAGAGAAAAGAGTTGCTTCTTCTGGAAGCTGCCTATTTAAATCACAGATAATATTAGAAATCAATTTCTAGAATGCAATAACAAAATGTTTTTCATTCTGATTTGTATTTGTCAATTTACTTTAAGATCTTTTTCTTACACACTTTATATTGCTTTCCAGATTCACACTCTTGAACTCATATACTAACATATACAGCACCAGAGCAGCTACAAAGCAATTAACCATTCACAGAGCTGTATGCTTCAACAGAAGTCTACATACCTAGGTATTTATGCCTAGGAGTCCTCCACTGAGCATTAGTCGTTGTTTCTTACTGGCTTAAAACACTACTGAGGACTTGATTCCTTGTTTTGATAAAATGACTGTGACATGCATGCATTATTACCTTTGTATTTCTGCAGAATGAAAGATTGGTTCAAGATAAATCCAGTTCCTTTGACAGAGTAACCATTCCTCCAGAGTGTGAGCAAAAAGATTCAACTTACGATCCCATCCATCCACAAGATTCTACCAGATAAAATATAATATTTTATTATTATAGTAACATCTACATTTGGGGGAAGTTCTTATTATCTGAAAGATGTTACCAAGGGACTCTGAACCTCCATTTTTATAGAGTTTAAGTAGGCCCTAGCATTTATTAAATAAAAGGTTTCTATGCACTTTATACAAATTTGAGAGGATACTCAGTACTTCATTAGGAACTGATTATTTAAGTCTGAAAAGAAGCTACTAAAATATTGTATATGTTTATTGGTTTATATCATTTTTTCCAGTCAAGTGAGAAGTATATATTTCACTTCAGGGCACTGGCATAAACTAGAATGTAGCTTTACCTGTAATAATATATATTTTGGACCTGGATCCTGGTCTCCTTACAAGTTATTCTCACTGAAGTCAAATACTGCAAACCTATTTCTAAATACCATCTAACAAAAATGTCTTTGTCTATCCTTGCTTTAAAAAAAAAAAAAAAGGTGACCAAGATGTTCTGTAGTGCTATCCTAAAACCACCTAGTCAGCATAACTAGTTTTCTTTCAATGTATTAGTACACATACAATAAGTTCTGCATATTTTATTAACAGTCCATCAGTCCTAGGAACTAGAAATTAACTCTGTTTGCAGTTGCAAACTAAATGGAGACTAAACCAATACATATTTGACTCCTTAGAAATTAACAGAAAAGCAGGAACATTGAAAAAAAAAGTTATTTACCAGTAGCTGTAGTTATTCAAGTTACTTGGTCCATTCATACATACATTCCACTGCTGGTATACATGTGTCCCATGCTTAAGCTCAGACCTTCTTGCCCTAGCAGTATCCATACAGTGTGTGTGTTTCCTGCCTCTCCTCATGCTTTGTAAGGAGGGCAAAAAGGGTGGAATGTGCTCCTCATGTAGTGATTGCATGACTGTCACCAACCCAAACATATGCCCTAAGCTTCCACAGTGGTGTAGTTCTTAGAAAAGTGTGTGTAAGACTCCAGGTGGCTGTTTTAAAAACATTCAGAATAGACATTTCATAGTAACCAAAGTTCCCTCAACTCTGGTGGAGTGAGCTCTGATCCCTTTCAGTGGGTCCTCTTTAGCAACCTTGTAGCAAACTTCGACACAGTAAAAGATTCAATTAGCCTTTATGCTAATTGTGCCTTTTGATATTTTAACAATGGAAATTAATAGATAAGGAGAATTCTAGAAAGACTTGGTCCTGGACAAGGAAAAGGACACAGCTCTCCTCAAATCTAACACATATAGTTGTGCCCGAGTTGAAATGGTTTGCCCATCTAGGCTGTGCATATTAGGTTTCTATCTTACTGGGGGACTGGGAATAAGTCTACACTGTGAATTTACTGAGTTAGGTGGCAGCATCCTCAAAACATGCCACGTTTCTCCTTGGAGGCTGTCTCCTGAACCAGAAGCAGCATATAAATTCATATGGTGCTTCTGTAGGACTAAGAGGTGCATCTACATGAGACATTTACTGAGTAGACTAATTAGCTCCGCAGTAAAGTCTCAGCATCTACACATGTGGCCTTATTAGGCCACACTGCCCTATTACGCTGCAGTAAACTAATAAATGCTGCTGTAGATTAGTACTTGTCAACACAAGTACTATCCTATGGAGGGGTTATTTAGCATGCCACAATGCACATTTAGACACTGACGGGGCTGGCTAGGTCACTTCAGTGTGGGGGCTGCCTGCCAGCTAACCCCAAACTGGAACACCTCCGTGCCCCAGCCAGACCCTCTGCAGCATGTTGAGCCGGGTTGGAAAAGCCCTGGGCTGGTAGGTTGACCTCCTGGGATCCCTTGCTAGCCGGGCCTGCTCTGACCTGGCTCAACATGATGTGGTCCCAGGCACACGTGTAAACACGGTGCTTGGGGGCAATAAACTCCAGTGTGAACTGCTCGAGTTTATTGCTTTGCATTAATTTCACATATAGATGTGCCTAGAGTTTGCGCCAATTAGACTGCCCATATGATAATAAGCTTATTTGCAGAACTGCAGCAATGCAGCTACCCTGCTCCCAGTTCAAAAGGCAGCAGACAGAAAGCAGCGAAGCACATTTGTACATGCTTCTGCTTGGTATAGTAAGTTTGTAATGCAGACATGACATGACTTGGTTCTCTCACTAGGGGAATACCTTGGTTAGGCCCTTTACTACTCCCAGGTGGGAGATGAGAGAGTATTCTATGGGAGAGTGATGAGCTGAAATGCAAGAGGTGTTATTGGATGCTAGAGTGCTCAGGCTCAGGGTCAGCGCTCACAGCTGGCGCTCCAATCACTACCCCCTCGTTACACTACTGCTGAAGGGACAGCAAAGTATTCTTTGGCAGAGATGAGGGATAAGTTGCCATGCTTCAGTTGGTATTCCAAGATAGTTAGACTGAAAGCCTCTGGAAGGGGGAAAAAAGAACTGGCATAACTTTAGGCTAAAAATATAGTCCACTTAGCCAGCAAGTTAATCTAGCTAGGTCTTTCTTCCTATGGATAAGAATATCCAAGCAAGCAAATCTACTCTACTGCTGATATGAATGGGTGTGTGCACATAGATGGCTAATGCAAGGAGATGTACCTACTGAGGCTGTCCAGTTAGATATCCTAGGACTCCTATAGACATGCAAGGAGCCTGCTCTGACACACTGGAAATCCAGCATATCGGAGCAGACTCAATTAATTGAGTCTGCTGGAGCATGGAAATTGACGTGCTCTGGCAGCCTTCCACATCTCATGTATCAGCATCCCTGTGCATCCCCATGCTGAAAAAATGGCAGCAGAGTGCTCTGAAATAAAACATGTTCAATGACCTTTAGTTCAAAGTGCCCCACCACCATTTTTTCAGCACAAAGATGCTGATACATGTGATGCACAGGCACTTTTAATTAGCATGGCATGCTAATTAAAGCGCCCGGCACTGCATCCCAGAGCACATGTAAAAAAATGCCTGGGAGGTACAGTACTTAGAATTCTATTTGGCAACTGAAATACCTATTCCAGAAGCTGACTACCTTTCAGGGAGGGAGAGAAAGGGCTAGGGCAGAGGTGTTCTTGTCATTGATGTAAGTCATCATAAGTCATACTCTGGAAATCAACTTGAGATAAGACAGTAATATGAAGCCTCATTCTTACATTAGAGTAGATGTCTTGGACCTGAAGATCAGTCATACTCATCATACCTCCCACTGTAGCAGGAAGATGTTTGTTGCCATTGTCACTAATGGATGTGAGGAAGTAAGTTCTGACTGTTGCTGTCTAATTGACCTTCACCAGGAGATGAGAAGGCCATAGCGACTCAGTCTTAAGGAAGGTAAGTTCTTATAGACAGAGAGCCTGAAGTGGACCCTATAAACTTAAGTCTCTGAACTGGAACTGGGTTTGATTTTGGAGTATTCACATTTAGGTCTAGAACAGGGGTCAGCAACCCCCAGCACATGTGCCGAGCACAGCACACGAGGCCATTTTGCTCAGCACACCACCACCACCACCAGCTGCTGCCAGCCACAAAGCCTGGGCTGCTTCCAGCAGGCAGCTGGGAAGCTGCAAGCCCTGCTGCAAGCTGTACTTGGCAGCAGCTACCCGGACCCTGGGCCAGTTGCAGCCAGGAGGCTGCAAATATCTGCTCTGGACTCTGGCATCAGCTCCATACCAGGGGGAGTGCATGCGCCTCGGAATGGACGGTGTGGGAGGGGCCTGAGTCAGTAAAACCTTGGCGTCTTCCTCGCTGCCAGCATAGAACTAATAACTGGGCTCCAGAGCTCAGTGCACCTGTTTGTAGCCAGCCTGGCAGCAGGCAGGCTGCAAACAGGTGCGCTGGGCTCCATAGCCCTGGCATCAGCTCCATGCTGGCAGCGACTGCACATGCACCTCAGAGCAGACAGTGGGAGGGCTATGCTGCCTCAGGCCCTATCCCCACTGTCCACTCCGTGGAGCACATGCACCTGCCGGTATGGAGCTAATGCCGGAGCCTGGAGCAGCTGTTTGCAGCCTCCCGGCTGCATCCAGCTCAGGCTCTGGTAGCTGCTGCCAACCACAGAGCCCAGGCTGCTTGCAGCAGGGCTTGCAGCTGAACCTGCCTAACTCCCACCTGTTATGAGCCCAGCCCCGACCCAGCCCCCCACCAGGATGAAGCTGGCGCTGCCCCTTGCCAGGAGCACTGCAACTTTTGTGGGCTTAGCTGTGCTGGGTGGGTGAGTGGTTGGGCTGATGGGCAGGCTGTGTCTTTGGCCAGCTGTGCTGCAGCCCAGGGGCTGGCTCCCCAGGGAAGCACAGGGGCTCTGGCGGGACCAGGCATTGTTAGGTCAGACTTTGTCCAGTGGCCCAGGAGCCTGGCTCCATGCACCTGCGCATCTGGTTCTATGTGTCTGTCTACCTGTGTGTGTACACACGTCTGATTCCGGATGTGTGTGCACGTATCTGTTCTGAGTGTGTTCTGGCTCTCTGTTTGTCCACGTGGTTCTCTGTGTGCTTGTGTCTGGTTCACTCTCTGCTCTCCCTTTTCTTTCTTTCTCTCTCTCTCCTCTTTCTCTTATGTGTCTCTTTTTTCTCTCTATCTCATTCAACATGCTCACCAAAAAGGGAATACACAACAACAAAGGCAACATTTATGATTATTAAATATACCAATATGCGGTGTGTCCTGCCATGTACCCCCCCGGCCCCCGCCCTCATTTTGTTTTTTCTGGCATGCCGGCACTCCGGCACCTTCCAAGGTAGACATTATGGTTTTTTTGGCACTTGGGCCAAAAAAACATTGCCTACCCTGGTCTAGAATATGAAACTGTGTACTGGAGGTTTCCCGCCATGTCTTAGGAGGAACTAGTTGTTTAGGAAAAGGTAAGTTTTGATATTCTTCTTGTAGACGGCCACAGCTGCAAGCCTCAGTGAAAGCTCTTGAGGAAGTCAAAAGACAGGGTAGTAAGACACTATTTTAATAACTGTCTTGCTCTACCACAAAGTGGAGGTATCTGCTGTGGGAAGCACATGAAGGTGCTGTGAATATAAGGAT